CCGGTGTCGGTGCCGGTGCCGGTGTCGGTGCCGGTGTCGGTGCCGGTGTCGTCGGGGACGGCGAGCGCTGGCGTCGGGGACAAAGCGGGGACACCCGCTGTGAGCTTCGGATCCGCTTCGGATCCAGCCCCAATTCAGCACCCACGGGGGCCCCCCCGAGGCCTTTCCGCCCCCGCGCCCCGCGGGTTGCCACCCGTTTCCTGTGGAGGAAACGGCGCCCGGAGGCGCTGCCCACGCGTGGGCGCCCCGRCGTCGCTGTCCCCCCGCCGCCGTCCCCCGCTCGGTGCCCGCGCTCACCGGCCGCGCCGCAGAGCAGCGCCAGGCACGTCCAGGCGGCCGGGCGCGCGCCCATGGCAGCCGGTGCCCCCGCGCAGCCGCCCTCGCGGCCCCTTCCTTCCCCTTTCTGCTTCCTCGGCGCCGCCCCGGCGCCCRAGGGACACGCAGGGTGCTGCCAGGGGGGACACGGGGGCCCCCGGTGTCGCCTCCGGCCCTTTCCTTGCTCCTGCTGCAGCATTCCCAGCTGGAGGGCTCGGCATTGGCTGCAGGACCCCACAACCAGGGACCGTTTCCTTGCACAGGGGCACAAAGGATCATTAAAAGACTCCATCCTGGGCCCAGCGCTCCCTCGGTGCTCCCAGAGCCGCCTGATCCTAGGTCGTTTTTGCTGGGAAAAAAAAAAATACTTGGACAAATCCGAGCTCAAATAAAAACCGGGTGTTTTTATTGTGGCAGCTCCTGCACAGGCTGCGTTAGGAGCAGGGGGCTCGGAGCGGCCACCGCTCATCCGTCTGTCCGTCCATCCATCCCGCGGCTACTSCCGGCACCCATCCGTGCGGGATCGCCCTTGGGAGCGCGGGATCGGCCGGGCCGGGGGGCTCAGAGCAGCCCCATGGAGCCGTGCGGGGCCGGCACGGCGTTCACCGTGGCGTAGAGGCTCCTCTCGCCCGCCGCAGGGCCGCCCGTCTTCTCCTCATCCCTTTGTCGCTACGGAAAGAGGGAAGCGGGAAGAGGGACGTGGGGATGCGCTGGCATCCGCAGGGCTCCCGGCTGCGCCGCTCACCTGCACCGCCGGCTGCACGGTGGAGTAGATGGTTTTGGAGGCCTCCTCGGGCGCCTTGGCCGCCTGGGCGGGATCCTGCGGGGCTGGCTGGAGAGGATGGGAATTCCCGAGGGAATGCTGGTGGGAACAGCGGTGCAGGCGCCGGCGGGGAGGGGGACTCACCTGGTTGGCGGTGCCCACGCTGGCGTACACGGTGAGCGCCTCGGGGTCTGCGCGGGGCGGAGGGGCTGAGTGCGCCGCATTCCCGGCACTGGGACCTTCCCCGGGAATTTGCACCGGAGCAGCCCGCTCCRGGGCAGGATAGAGGGCGCAGGGAGAAGGTCGGGAGCGCCCCAAACTTACTGGTGCTGGGACCGGGGCGCACGGGCCAGGAGACGTTGAACTGGGAGTGGCAGAACCAGCAGGTGCCCGCGACGGAGAGCAGCACCACGACGAGCACGATGGCTATCACGATGTAGATGACGCGAGAGAGGCCTTAAAAGCCAATATATATATATATATATATATATATAGCAAAGCCCCGGGGACACCGGCGCGACGGGATGGGACGGGGCTCACCGGAGACGGGAGCGCGGGAGCCGTTCTCTGGTGCGGCGTTGGCGAGGGCGCAAAGGAGGGAAAAGGGGCAGTGAGCGGGAGCGCGGGGCGGCCCGCGGCGGCGGCACCGGCGGCGCTACCTGCGCACGCGGCGGCCGGCTGCACCGTGACGTTGCTGCTGCTGACGGGGTTGCGGGCGGTGCAGGTGACGGGCGGCAGGCTCCGGAGCGGGCGCCGCAGCTGCAGCCAGGGCCCGGAGGCGTTGAGGGCGCCGGCGCCGCTCCAGCCGTAGGCAACGGCGGCTCCCGGCGCCGAGCAGAGCAGCTCGTAGGGGCACGGCGCGGCCGTGCAGTTGGCGAGGCTGCAGGAGACGGCCGGCGGCGGCAGCTCCGCTGCGGGGACGGGGCGGTGAGGGTCCCGTCGGGGCGCGCGGCCGCCGCTGCCGCAGCCGTGGAGCTCACCGTAGACCCGCAGGTTGAAGATGTATCGCCTCTTGGTGGCCACTTGGACCCAGTAAGTGCCGGCGTCGTCGGGCACCAGGCCCGAGAGGATGAGCGCCGTGCCGTTGTGGAGGAAGGCCATGCGCTCGGCGTACTTGGCGTCCAGGACCTCTGGGTAGCCGCTGCTGTTGATGATGACCATGAGGAGGTTCTTGACGTGCCAGTAGAGGCGTCCCTCCATGGGGCCCGGGATGCGGAATGTCACTGACTTGCCCACGGTGCCGGTCACTTCTGTCACCGGCTCGTGCTCAGGAGAGGCTGCGGATAGAGCAGAGGCGGCTGCTCTTCCCGTAAGCAGGACGCGATATCCCGGGCGGAATTCCCAGCCTTTGGGAATATGTGTCTCATCCCCACGTCCACGTGCCCGGGCTGAGAGCCGTGCCACGGGTGAACGGGGCGGGAAGCGGGGGCTGCAGGCGCCGCAGGGGCTGCGGCTTCCACTGCGCCGGCGCCGGCGGCTCCTCGGCAGCTGCAGCTGCAGCGAGAGGAAGAGCGCGGCGGCACAGAGCGCACGGGCCCGGCGGGGAGGAAGGCGCCGCTCGCGGGGAGCCCCGCTGAGAGCGACGGCGAGGAGGAGGAGGAGCGGGAGGAAGGCCAGCTTGGCGAGCATGTGCCCTCCAGGAGCAGACTTGCCCTTTGGGAAAGGCGCGCGGGCCTCGGAGCTCCCCGGGGCTATCCGGAGGGCCCGTGGGATGTGGAATTCCCATGTGGGACGCCCCTAGGGATGCTCCCGGCATCCTGACCGGCTCCTACCTGCGCGCTGCAGCAGCAGGGCGAGCAGCAGGTACCCGCGGGCGCCCATGGCCGCGCGCGGCTCCCACGGCACCGCCGTCGTCACCGTCACCGTCACCGTCGTCACCGCCGCGCTGGCGACAGGCGGAAGTGCCACTTCCCACCCCGGGGTGCAGGGTTTTTTTGGGGGGGGTTCGCTCCCGCCTTTCGGCTTTCCGGGGTTTTAGCAGCGCGGCGCAGGCGGCTGCGGCTCCAACAGTGGCTCCGGCTCCGGGAAGGACCGGGAATTCTCCAGGGGGAATTGCGGGTGTGTTGAGCACCCTAAGCTCAACTCGCTGCACCCGCTTGGGCCTCCGTCGGGGAAGAGCAAGAAAGCGGGGTGCTGCTTTCGGAGCCGGGGTCGAGCTCCCATTGCCCATCCCATTGCCCATCCCATTGCCCATCCATTTGCCTCCCATTGCCCATCCCATTGCCTCCCATTGCCCCCGGTGGTGGCGGGGAAGCAGGATCCCCCACTTTTTTCCAGGGAAATCAGCTGATTTTCCATGGCAGGGGAAGGAGGAAGCAAGGGATGAGCAAAGCCCTGGGTTCCGCTTCAGGCTCTGGAGTGGGAGGCGGCACCGCATCCCGGATCCGGCCCACGGAGCCGCATCCGCTGCAGCCTCCTGGTGTCCCGGGGCCATGGGGGACTCGGGGGGTCCCCTGGGACACGTGGGGCTCAAAGCAGCACGAGGAAGGGGCTCTGGACACTCCTATGGCTCCATCCCCACGGCCACCCGCGCGGTCAGAGCGGGATCCGGAGGGAAGGCAGCTCCGTTTTCCTGCTGGAGCCTCCCCCCGTCTCCGCATCCAGCCCCGGATGCCGGCGGCTTCTGGCGGTGCCGTGATAAAGAGTTCCCAAAATAAAGGAGCCCTTTTTATGGGCCATAAAGCATCTCCGGAGCGGGGATTAGGTGCCTGGAAAGGAGGGAAGTGGCTCTGGGTCGGCCCTGCCATGGGGAAAGCGGCTTGGAAAAGCCTCGTTCCTGGCTGATCCCAGGCAAAAAGCAGCTCTCGGGTGGAGGAAATCCCTTGGGAAGGAGCCGGCGGCATGCAGGGCTCAATTGGGTAGGGAAGAGGCTGGAGCAGCCGGGATGCCGTAAATTGGGCCAGGGAAGGGCTGGCGGCGGGCGCTGATCCGCCACCGTCTGCTCCCCATCCGCAATCCGCTAATCTCCTTAGGGATGGAGAGGCCGGGAGCCTCGCCCTTTGGCTGCCCAGCCGGGAAGCGGAGGCCGAGCAGCCGCCCGACATCCCCATCCCACAGGGAAAAGCGGGAGAAGAGCCCGGCGCTTCCCACCGGAGCCGCGGCGGCRCAAGGGGTGGATTCGCCGCACGAGCCCGAGCGTCGCCCCCTTTTCCCGTTCCCGAGAAACTGGGGGAAAAGAGACTGGTTTAAGGCAAAAGGAGGCCGGCTGTGCCCGGGAGGGGGCAGCACATTCCCGCCTCGTCCCGCTGCATCCCGGAGCCCCCAGCTCGGATCCGGCGGGCGGGAATGATCCAGCCAGTCCAAAACTGGCATTTTTTGCACAAAGCGAATTCCTGGCGGGTTATCCCGGCTAAATTTAAGGTGGGATAAATTATGGAGGGGCAGAGCTGTCGAGGAGCGCCCCAAAATAACTTATTTTAATGTTCCCATAAATTGCTCATTCAATCTCCCATCTCAACGTATCCCRGGGAAATCAGTCGCTCCTGCTGATTTAGGAATTAGGACCGGGCGGATAAAGGGGATCAGGAAGCGGGATCGGCCTCGCCCGGGTGCCCGTTCAGGCGTCTCCGCAGGGATGCGGTGCGGATCCCGCGGGTGCCAGGCTTGGGCTCGGCGCCGCTGCTCCATCTGCTCCGCGCCGGCCTCGCCGAGCGCCAGCTGGGACCTGGCGCCCGGCACCCGCCTGGCACCCGCACCGGGAAACGCCGGGAAGCGCCGGGAAGCAGCCAGGAAGCGGTCGGGAAGTGGAAGCTCCGGAGCTGCATCCCACCGCCCACCTCCCTAGGGCTCCTATGTACTCCCAGCGACAGCAGCGTCAAAACGGCAGCACCCGCTGTGGATTCTCTGCTGTCTAATACGGGGGTTGCTGCCGGCTCCCTTCACTCCCGTTCTCCCGCGGGAGGCGGCTCCTTCATCCCTGGGATGCTCCAAGTCGAGTTGGGAAGTGGTCCAAGGCGGGGACAAGGGAGGGAGGGGCGATGCCCCAGGCGCCTTCCCTTGGGAATTGGGGTTTCCTGAAGTGCTGGCATCCATCCTAATTGCTTTAATAATAATAATAATAATAATAATAATAATAATAATAATAATGACACTAAAGGAATTCTGCAGCCGGCTGGTTATTGCACAGGGATCCACCTGGTTCCCTTCCCTCCGTCCCGCCGGCGCCCGGACGCCGGGGCCCCCGGGGCTGCCTAATGAGCGGGGGGTTCGTTAGCCCTTCCGCTCGGCAGCCCTAACGAGGAAGGCGCTCGGGGACGTTAGGCTCTGCCTAACTGTCATTAGGGCCGCGGTTGGCGCCGGCTTTCACGGGCCGCCGCGCTCCGCGGGGGATCCCGGCGCTCCGCAAAAACAGCTCGGCGGGAGCGGCTCCGCACGCGGACACCCCGCCGGGATGGGCCGGGAATGGCGGGGATGGAGAAGACCCCCCCTCATGGGGGAGTTTGGGGGGGGGGGGTTGATGTTGCCGCCCTGACGCCGGGGTTGATGGGCCCGGGGGGGGGACTCAGGATTCCTGCAGGTCTCGGGGGGCTCGGGGTCCCTGCGGGTCTAGGGGGACTTGGGATCCCTGTGGGTCCAGAGGGGCTCAGGGTCCCTGCAGGTCTCGGGGGGCTCGGGGTCCCTGTGGGTGCGGGGGGGCTCGCGGCCTCCCTTTGCCCGAAGCTGGGTCAGCGCCGCCCCCGCCCGATCCCAAACCATCCCCGCCGGTGCAGCCAGCGGCGTTAATCCAATAAAGCAGCCTCTGTTTCGAGAGCCTCTCCTTGTCCCCGTGCCGGCCTCCCGCGAGGAGGCGGCCTCGGCGCCCCGCGGAGGGAGGCAGGAGCGGCGCCACGATGAGGAGGCCAGCGGCGGGAGGCCGGCGCGGAGGCGGCCTCGGCAGAGGGCAGCAGGGAGGCTGCGGACGCCGCAGCCGGCACCCGCCGGGAAGCGCCGGGGAACGGGAGGCTGCAGCGGAGGCCGCGGAGGCCGCGGCTCCTCGGAGGCCCTTCATCACCTCACCTGGTGCATGGAGGCATGGGAGGGAGCACACGTGTGGCCCCGCACACGTGTGTGGCCTGCACACATGTGCACATGTGTGTGTGCATAGGTGACCGCCAGCACACGCTCACGGGCACCCGTGTCCCACACTGAGTCGCTTGCATGCACGTATGTACAACCTGCAACCAGGACACACGGGTGTGCAAGCACTTTGGTGCACACGTGTCGGCATACGTGCATGCGCCAACACGTGCATGAACACACACCCGTGTGCTTTTGCTTGCATGGATTGATGTGGGAAGTGCGAGCACGCGTCAGCATGCACCGGCACACGCGTATGCACACRTATGCACATGTATGCACACTCATGTGCAGCCATGCACGGCAGCAGGAATGCACACAGCAGCATGCACATGCGAGCACACACATGACTGCACACCAAGCACATTCACACACATGTGCACACTGGCACGCACATACATGAGCACACAGCGGGCACACACAAGCGTGCACATGAGCACACACCAAATTCATGCAAGCACATCCCAGCACACACATGCACGCACACTGGGGCACACACGTGCATGCACACTAAGCACATATGTGCACACCAAGCACACACATGTGCCCCAAGCACACACATGCATGCACACATATGCACATCAAGCACGCACATGCACACAGACATGCGTGCTCCAAGCACACACATGTGTGCGCACCAAGCACATACACGCACACACACATGTGCGCACACCGAGCACACACATGCGCGCACACATGTGTGCACACCAAGCACAGACAGGCACACACATGTGCGCACACCAAGCACACACAGGCGCAGACACCAAGCACACACATGCGCACACATGTGTGCACACCAAGCACACACATGTACACACATGTGTGCACACCAAGCACACACCCATGTGCTCACACCAAGCACATACACGCACACCAAGCACACACACCAAGCACACACACCAAGCACACACATGCACGCACACATGCACACACCGAGCAGACATCACACACACATGCACGCAGACCAAGCACACACACATGCACACAYGCGCACGCACACCAAGCACACACACGTGCACACACATGCACACCGAGCACACACATGTACACACGTGTGCACACCAAGCACACACACGTGCACACACATGCACACCGAGCACACATGTACACACGGAGCACACACATGCGCGCACACCAAGCACATAC